GGGAGTCTGCTTCTCCCTCTGACCCTCCTCCTTCTCATGCTCTCTGTCTCTCATTCTCTCTGTCTCAAATAAATAAATAAAATCTTTAAAAAAGAAAAACTCATTTTACACGTGTCATTTGACTTAGCAGGATCTCAAGTCTGAAGAAGAAGGAGCTTCTGACACAACTCCAGGAAACTGAAGTTTCCAGTCACCTCAGGAAGACAGACATTCCCTCTCTTTTATGTGGAACATGCTGTTGGGCAATGATTAGCCAAGTCGTAAGCCAGAGGCTCCTACCTTTGGACTGTTTTCTCATTTTCCTTCATTGGTAAAACACCTAAAAGACCCACGTACCAAACCACGTTTAAGAAAAGTGTACCATTTCCGATTTGCAATCAGTCAGATGGGCCAGCCTAGGGGTTGCAAGCTCCCTGCCAGCACTGCCTTCACTCTTGGGGTGCTGGGGTGCAGCAGGACTCAGGAGGTACCAAGAGCCTGGACAGGTACCAGAGCACTGCCACTGAGCAGCTTCTCTGTGTCTCAGTCCCACTGTGAAACAGGGTAAGTAAAAGTACCTACTTCACTGAAATGCTGTGAAGGTTAAATGAGAAAACCCAGGCAAAGCCTTAATCACAATGCCTGGTATATGCTAAGGTAAAAAAAGTGAAGGTTTATTGGCTTAATCAGAATTTTTGTTCAGCATATAACCATTATCATCACAGTAAATTCACTCCAGTTTTTATTTTATTATTTTAAGTCAAAGCTATTTGTGGTGAAATGTGCTTAGGAGGATTATCATGAAGAGGCAGATTTTCCAATCAGCTTTTCAACATTCTAAGATAAGCCAAGACCACTACCACTACTATATGGACAACAGCCTGGAAAATAAGACCTGAAGTATAGGTCAAGTCAACGTAAGGAGAAAAGATCAGTCAAATTATAAGAAAGTCCCTTTGATAAACAGGAAAACTGGAATAATTTTGTTAGTGAAAAGGACACTATAAAGGAATAAAATGGCCAATTATTAAGTAATTCATTACTCTCACCTTTTCTTCTTTCTTACCCTGATTCTTATATACAAAGCATCACTCCATTATAGTTTATCCCAAATACTAACTGGTCAATCCCTTCTGAAATGATCATACATATCATATCCAGCTTGTTCATCAAAGACTTAAGCTACTTTCAGTTGTCAGATTTCAGCATCTAGAACTCTCACAGACTGCTGTTGCTGAATTTCTCATATGTACAACCTATTTCAGCTCATTTTGATGCTAATCTTTCCTCCACAAAAAAAGGAGAAAGTGCTGAAGAAGTTTCTGGAGAAAGGCGTTCGGAGGATACTGAAGTGAGCCACTCATGAGTGAATCGGGCCGAAGCACCACAGACAAGGGCGGCAACTCTGGAAACCGGGTTTAAGAAAAGAGCTCCCAGGATGTATTTCATCTCAAACATCATGAACCAAAGGACACTGAGACGCTGCTGACCAACATCACTCCAGGGGACCAAAGGCACCTTTAAAGCACGAAGACAAGAGTGCACGGGTTGACAAACAGCCTGCACGATTATCTACCTACTAAAAGCTGCTCAATGGCCCTGCCTCACCAGGAGTCCTCACCTGGAGTCCTGTCCTCTGGCAGCAGAAGGACCTGCCACTCCTCACCAGAGTCTGTTCAGTGCCAGCTGCCCAGTGAAAGGGAACAGCTGTGACCACTCCCCTTCTCTCCCTGAAAAACATGTGGAATACACCAATCTTGGTTTTGAGAACAAATCCTGTAAGTCATATCCCATGCCACAGTGTGTCTACTTTATGCTTATTTTCCTCCCAATTCACAGGGGTTTGACTTTCCAAATTACCTTGTAGAAAAACTCATTTTACACGTGTCATTTGACTTAGCAGGATCTCAAGTCTGAATCTACACACACACCTCACCTCATTCCTTAACAAATTTTGCTCCTGTTTGGATTATCTGGTGCTGAAAAGGGAGAACAGTTTTGAAGTTAAAGGGACCACATCCTCACAATAAACCCTTTTGAAGAGGCCCAAACAAATCAACAAGGAAATCTCAACCTGGCTCTTTCTGGCTTTAAAGTGCAAGGGTTCCAGTTACTTTCCTTGAACCTGAAATAGATGATGATGAGGAAGGAAGAGCAAACGGCCACATGAAATACCTCACTGCACCTTAAGGTCTGGGGCTATGAAAACACAATCTTAAGTGTAATTAAATTGTGTTCATTTCAAGTACTTAAGTACAGGGCCACCCTCTGAATCAGAGGAAAGGCATGTGACCTTGGATTTTTTATCACATAATTTGGCAGCCTGCCCTCAGTTAACAGTGCACTGGGAGATTGTTAAATCACTCGAGATGAATCTCCAAAATGAAAGCTGTAAAAGCAATGAATGGCTTTCCCATCAGTATACTGCTCCTGTTGTAAAACAGTGAAGACTTTATCGAATAAAGCAGTTATTCTCCACTGTGAACTTTATGGTGCTGAATGAAAGCTGCCTGTGCACTAAAGAGGGCCCCACGTTTAATGCACTTATAGGCTTGCTCTCCAGTGTGAATTTTCTCATGACTGGTAAGAGTTATTCTCTGACTAAAAGTTTTCCCACATTCATTACACACATAAGGTCGCTCTCCACTGTGAACTCTCTGATGTCGAATAAGGTGAGAGCTTTGTCTGAAGGACTTTCCACATTCAGTGCATTTGTAAGGTTTCTCTCCTGTGTGAATTCTCCTGTGTTGGATAAGGGATAAACGTGCACTGAAGGCTTTCTCACATTCATTGCATATGTAGGGTTTCTCTCCAGTGTGAATCCTCTGATGCTGAATAAATTGTGAATGCTGACTGAAGGCCTTGCCACACTCTTCACATTCATAAGGCTTCTCCCCCGTATGAATTCTGCGATGCTGGACGAGAGAGGAGCGGACATTGAAGGCCTTCCCACAGTCACTGCACTCGTAGGGATTCTCTCCAGTGTGAATCCTTCGATGGCGGACGAGGTGTGCGCTCTGGCTGAAGGCTTTCCCACAGTCACCACACTCATAGGGTTTCTCTCCATTGTGTGTTCTCTCATGCTTAATTAGGGTGGATATCTGCCCAAAGGTTTTCCCACACTTGTTACACTCGTAGGGTTTCTCTCCAGTGTGGCTCCTCTGATGCTGAATGAGGTGTGAGCCCTGGCTAAAGGCCTTCCCGCATTTGTGACACTCATAGGGCTTCTCACCATTATGGACTCTCTGATGTTGAACAAGGGAAGAGAGCACACTGAAGGCTTTATCACACTCATTACATTCATAGGGCTTCTCACCATTGTGTGTCCTTTGATGATGAATAAGATTAAAACTCTGGCTGAAGGCTTTTCCACACTCATTACACTCATAGGGTTTCTCTCCAGTGTGAATTCGCTGATGCTGAATCAGATGTCCCTTTTGGCTGAAGGTTTTCCCACACTCACTGCATCCATAAGGTTTTTCTCCAGTGTGAATTCTCTGATGCTGGATGAGGGACAGGCGAGCACTGAATGATTTTCCACACTCATCGCAAACGTAAGGCTTCTCTCCAGTATGAATTCTCTTGTGCTGAATGACTTGGGAGCGCTGACTGAAAGATTTTCCACATTCATTACACCTATAAGGTTTCTCTCCAGTGTGAATTCTCTGATGAACAGTAAGGGTTCGGTTCAGGCTAAAGGATTTCCCACATTCATTGCATTCATAGGGTTTTTCTCCTGTGTGAGTTCTCTGATGTTGAATGAGAGATAATCGTGCACTGAAGGCTTTGCCACACTCAGTACAGTTATAAGGTTTCTCTCCAGAATGAGTTCTCTCATGCTGAAAGAGGTGTGAGTGTCTACTGAAAGCCTTCCCACATTCCTTACACTTGTATGGTTTCTCTCCACTATGAATTCTCTGATGATGAATCAGGTTAGAGCTATGACTAAAGGCCTTCCCACACTGATTACACTCATGAGGTTTCTGCCCCATATGAATTTTAAGATGTTGACTGTAAGATGAACGTGCACTGAAAGCTTTCCCACATTCACTGCATTCATAAGGTCTTTCTCCAGTGTAAGTGTTATAGAGCTGAATGAAATAGGAATGAGCCCTGAAAGATTTGCCACACTCAGCACAAGTGTGGGGCTTCTCTCCACAGTGAACTCTCTGATGTTGGCTGAGGACAGAGCAGTGGCGGGAAATTTTTCCACATCTACCACACTCACAGGGCTTCTCTCCAGAGTGACTTCTCTGATGCTGAGAAAGTGCTGTACTCGGGCTGAAAGGTACTCCACACTCAGTACACTCAAAGAATTTCTCTGGATTGTTAACCCTCTGATTCTCACTAAGAACTGAACTCTGCCTGGGCACTTTCACAAACACATCTGTCTGACAGGCTATTTCTCCTAGATGGAAACACTGGAGATTAATGAGGTCCTGACTTTCTTTAAAGTCATCCATACATGGCACATTCTGGTGGAGACTCTCCCCTCTAGATGCTCTATGAAATCCAAAAGAGTTTGGGTCTGCAGTGCAGTTTACCTCCACAGAACTGGATTTCTGGCCTTCCCCTCCAATAGGGGTTTTCCTACATGTTAATGTCACTGGCCTGGAATTGTTCTTCTGGGAGAAGGATTTCTTAAGTCTTTCCTCTGCAGATTTTCTCCAGCAATTCTTTAACTTTCCCTCAGTTTTACTCATCTCTTCAAAATCAGGTTCCTTGGAAATATTCCTTACATGTTCTTCTGATTTTGCTCTCTGGGATCCCGCTGCTTTGGAAATTTCCTGTTTTGGAGTCAATCCCTTCTTCCCCGTCCGAGACTCAAAACCTGAAAGAATGAAGAAAAATTAGTTACTCGTATTTTACTGTGGGAGAAAGAATTAGAGAATAAATAGGAACATTTATATGAAACTATCTCCTAGGAGGATAGTGAATTTTCAGAATGTAAAACCAAAAAACCACCTCACTAGGATGAGAAGAGGAAAGAGGGGAAGAGAAGCATGCTATCAGAGCAAGGAAGGCTGGTGTGGGAAGGAAGTAAGTAAGGAGAGAAGCCCAAGGTCTAGGCTTCTATCTGGGCTAACTAGGCGCGGACAGAGCAGGAAGAGTGAGGCATGACCTGAGGGAAAAAGAGCTCCCAGAAAGGTGACGAGGGTGATGAGGAAGACTGCTGATCATGTCACTGCTCATACTTTGTAAACAAGGTATCTTCTTCTAGCTTACTTATAATAGGTATTCAAATATTTGTTTAAAAACAAATGAGGGGCGCTTGGGTGGCTCAGTCGGTTAAGTGTCTGACTCTTGATTTCGACTCAGGTCATGATCTTGGGGTTATGAGATCAAGCCCTGCATTGAGCTCTATGCTCAGCAGGGAGTCTGTCTCTGCCTCTGCCCCGACCCCCTGAAATAAATGAATAAATCTTAAAAAAAAAAAAAAAAGAATGATAAATGACTTAAGATGAATAAAGGGTATACAGATTAATGGATACTGGAAAAAATGATTTGATCTGGACAACTTGGCTTCACAGAAGCAAATCAGGGTGAATAGAGAATAGATACAAAGAAGCAACCTACTCATCCAAATAGCAGGTGCAGCACAAGGCAGAAAAGCTAAGTGTGTGCAATAATCCACACCACACATTCCCAATGAATAAAAATACCTGAATATTTGTAAAAACTGTGATACAGATGAATTCTGAAATCCAATGAAAGGAAATTTACCAAAAACAAAACAAAACAAAACCCCAAACAAAACCACTGAATCATGTGGACACAAGGACTGTTGGAAGGATAACCAGGTCAGAACAGTGAGAGGGGAGCTCTGTTGTGAGACGCCACAGAGCACAATGGAACCTCTTTTTTGTAAACTGCTTACTATTAGAGCTGTAACAGTCTGTAATCTTCAGACTGTTTAGCCAGACAAGGAAACAGCTGAAAATGTTGATTAGATGAGATCTAAAATTGGGCTAAGTCATTTTAACAGACTTCAGTGACCTACTCACAGTACTTCAAAGGGATTTACTTTACTATTTTTTACTATTTTTGACAAAGGCACAAAGGCAATACAAGTGGAGAAAGGATGGTTTTTTCAACAAATGGTGCTGGAACAACTGGACATCCACTTGTAAAAATTTTAACGTGGTTCCATAACTCATACCAGACACAAAAATTAACTCAATATGATCACAGACCCAAGTACCTAAAATTTCTAAGTTACAAAATTTTCTTCTATAAGAAGAAAATGTTGGGCGCCTGGGTGGCTCAGATGGTTAAGCGTCTGCCTTCGGCTCAGGTCATAATCCCAGGGTCCTGGGATCGAGTCCCGCATCGGGCTCCCTGCTAGGCGGGGAGCCTGCTTCTCCCTCTGCCTCTGGCTCTCTCTCTCTCTCTCTGACTTTCATGAATAAATAAATAAAACATTTATAAAAAAAAATATATATATATATATAAAAGAAGAAAATGTTTTGGATTAAGCAAAGTTTTCTTAGATATGACACCAAAAGCACAATCCATAAAAGAACAAACTGATGAACTGGACTTCATCAAAATTTAATAAAACTTCTACTCTTCAAAAGACACCGGTAAGAGAATAAAATGACAAGGCACAGTGAGAGAATATCTATGCAAAGCATTTATCTGATAAAGGGCCTGTATCTAGAACATTCCTATGTTCAGAAAGCAACTCTTTAAAACTTAAGAGAACACAAACTGAGTTAAAAAATAAGCAAAGATATGAACAGACACTTCACCACTGAAAATACACAGAAGGAAAACAAGATACTCAAAATGTTTAACGATTAGAGAAATTAAAAGTAAAAGTAAAACCACAATGAGACACCACTACACATTTATCAGAGCAGCTAAAATGAAAAAGACTGAGCACACCAAGTGTTGATGAGGATGTGGAGAAAATGGAACTCTCACCCATTGCTGATGGGAATGTCAAATTGTGCAACCAGTTTGGAAAACATTCTGGCAGTTTCCTAAAAGTTAAATATACAGCTACCATGTAACCCGGTCATGCTATTACTAGGTACTTATCCAAGAGAAAAGGAATGCATGGTCATACAAGGATCTGTACACAAATGTTCATAGCAGCTTTATTTGTATTAACCCCAAACTGGAAACAACCCAAATGTCTGTCAACAGAATTGAAAAACAAATTGTGGCAAATCCATACAAATAGAATACTAACCAAAATGAAAAAACGAGTTATTGATACATAAAGTAGATGAACATCAAAAGAATTATGTGCAGTCAAAAGATGTCAGACAAAAAAAAAAGGGTACATGCTCTATGATTCCATTAATATAAAATTCTAGAAAATGTAATTCATATTGACAGCAGGTAGATCAGTAACTGCTTCATGGTAGAGATGGGAAGGGGTAAGAGGGAGGAATTACAGAGAGACAGCAGAAAACTTTTGGGGGTAATGGATATGTTTGCTACCTTGACTGTAGTGAATAGTTTCACACATATGCACATAATGCAGAAATGTTACCAAATTGCACATGTTAAACATGCATGGCATATTATACGCTTAATATTCCTTAATAAAGCTGTTTCTAAGAGGGGAAGAAGAACACATAGGGTGTGGAGCCGGCATGCCAGAGTCCAACCCAGCTCTGTTCCTGAGCAGTTGTGTGATCTCAGGCCAGCAAGCAAATCTCTCTGTGCCTCAGAGTTTCTTGGGTACCGGCTCTGCGAGGATACTGGAGGACTGCAGAAGTTGACTGTGTCAGCAAAGTGCTAGACGTGCACTGAGCACAAACGTCCAGGCGTCGCTAGCTGCTGTGGCAGCTGAGGACTCTGCTCCACTTCCTGTTTCCTATTCACATGCCCATATCCTTTGCTACACAGGAAGAAACCCTAGCTCATGTTTTTTTCCAAGGCCCTGAATCAGCCTGGGAACTCTGAGTGAGCAATAGCAGGAGTGAGTCTGGGCAGAGGGCATGTCTCTGGATGGTCTTTCTAAGCAGCCAAGGCAGGGCTGGCCAGCAAGGCCTGAGAAGGATGGCTGACACAGAAGCAACTGGCAGGCAGCCAGGGCAGGGAGCCAGCTGCCCCAGAGAGATACCTGAGCTCTTTTCTGGGATTGAGAGAGCATTTTCTGGGTAAGGGAAACATGAACTCATTTATGCGTATAGAATACGGGTGTTAACAGAAAGAAAAGAGAGGTAGAAATGGAGAAGAGGGAGAGCAAAGCTCTGGTGTCACAAAAATGTGGTCCAGAGCTCATAGAGAAGGGCCTGGCAAAGTGGCAGCACCTGCCAGCATGGGCAGGAGAGCACAACAGCATTCCTGGAGACTCACTTTCACTCCTGTGACTCCGGATCCAGCCCTCCTCAATTTTCGGTGAGTATGGGGCCCATGGCTCTTCCCCCTTCTCCAGCCTGGAGATGACATCAGGTTTGGAACCTTGAAGTCCTGCTCCAGAGAAAGGAAGCAAGGCTGACAACTCATCCAAATCCAGGGCAGAATGGCCCCATGGGCAGCACCTGTGTCCCGTTCATGACCTCCCCTGCCACCTGTCTGTAAACCAAGGAGACAGATGCAGGCCTCTTCCCTAGCTGAAGAAAAGTTAAACCCAGCTCTTTTGGGGGCCAAGGATAAGGGACAGAGTTGGTGCCTGAACACATCACGCTAGAAGACTCATAACAGAGTCTTGGTGTTGATGTCCACAAGGACTAAAGGGAAGCAGCATATTCTGGTGTAAGGCAGGGCTTGAAACCAAATGGATTCAAATCCTAGATCTGCTCCTGACTGCCTGTGTGAACTTAAGAAAGTGATGATATCTATCAGCCTCAGATTCAACTATAAACCATTTAACCCAACACCAACCTTGAAGATGCATTACGATTAACTTGGGATGTGAATATACTTAGGGTTCAATGAATGATATTCTTCTTCCATATTTCCTACAAGGAAATTGGGGGAGTCTGTGGCGCTGCCTGTCCTCTCCTCTGTGCTCACCAGGCTTTCCTGGGACCAAAGTCAGAAATGCCTTGTGTTTGGCCCCCGAGGGTGAGATGCCTCTGAGCCTTGAGCCTAACTCTAGTCCTGTTCACGAGCAAGGAAACCAGAGCTGAACTTCAGAAAGAGTCTTACCCAGTGAGATCAGGTTTCTGTAGGTCTCCAGCATCACATTACTGTAGAGGCCCCTCTGAGCAGGGCCCAGACAGCCCCACTCCTCCCGGGAGAGGAACACAGCCACGTCCTCAAAGGAAACTAAGACCTGGAATGACAATATCTTGTTGCAACCCCAGGGTCAGGCCCAGGGTGGCTCATGATGGGCAAAACCCCTTTGAATGCATGTACCAGCCTGCTGTCCTCACAAGAGTGGGCTCTTTGAGACCAGCACCATTTTGACTTGTCTCTGTCTGCCCAACCCCTGCCCTCTACTATGCCTTGTGCAGGGATTGGGAAGACATTGTGCAGCATATTTCAGGGACTTGAACTCAGGGACAGAGGACATTGGTGAAGACGGGGACCCATCTACCCGCTGGGACCAGCCCCTCATAGACAGAACCGTGGAGAGACTCTAGCCAAGAAAAGGCTAAGTCTACAGAGATATCTCCATGAGGACCACTCACCTGGGGCCCAGCAGGAAGGAGCTGCTTGACAGCCATCATTGGATCTCTTAGCTTGCCCCAAGGAGGCGGGCGAAACTGCAGGGAGAGGGAAGACTGTGATGGAGTGTGACCAGCCTGCTTTTCACAGCAACCCTGAGACTTCTGTGCCTGGATCTCAAGAGGCCTATGGCAACAGAGACCAAGTTTGGGGCTGCCAGGAAGCTCCGGGAAGGGCAGATGGACTAAACACCCAGTGGTCTCTGAGACTATATCCCCTTGTCCACCATGAGGCTTCCCCAGCAGCCCCTGGTACAAACCGCATCCTAAGGCCACCACGTGATGGCCCCAGCAGTGCACCGGAGTAGACAATAGGCTGCATCTCAGGTCCACCTTGGAGGTCCTGGAGAGTGGGCACACAGCTGAGGACAAGCAATCCAGGCTCCTACTCTAGGATGGTGCACAAACAAGTAGGGAGGTTGACAGACAAAACGCCTGTGTCAGGTGATGCTAAGGGACAGAAAAAATGAACAGCATGAGGGCAGCAGCTGGTGGTAGGAGATATTTTAAACAGGGTGGCCAGAGAAGACACCTTTGATAAAGCAACACCAAAGCAGAGGTCTAGATGGAGTGAGGGCAGACACTATGTGGATATTAGGGGAGATACATCCCAGGAAGGGTAATGCAAAAGTGCAAAGGTTCTGAAGTGATGGCCCACCTGATGTGTTCAAGTTAAGGGCAAGGAGGCCAGAGAGTGGAGTAGGGGAGGGCAAGAGAGAGGAGGGTGGGGTGCCTCATAGGCTATAGAACTTGGGCTTTTACTCTGAGTTGGGAAGCATCTGGAAGATCTGGGCAGTGATATGACCTGCCATGTGGCTTCTCCAGCTGCTGCTTTGAGAACAGACGAGGGGTGGGAGTGGGGAGTGTAAGGATTTAACAGGAAAACCAGTTGGAAGGCTCTAGCAATAATCCACCAGAGATGACAGTATCTTGGACCAGAGTGGTGGGAGCAGGTGATAAGTGATCAGATTCTAGATGCATTTCAAAGGTATAGTCAACAGGATTTGCCAAGGAATTAGGTCTGGGATGAGACACCAAGATTTTTGCGCCAAGCTACTGAGATGAGGAAACTTCCATTCACTCTAAAGGATAAGACTTACATCTGAAGGGTAAAAATTAAAAGCTGTTTTTGTACATGCTGTATTTAGGATGCCCATTAGATTTACAAGTGGAGAATCAGAGCTTTTGGATATATAGGTCCAAAATTCAAGAGAAAGGCTGAAGCTGGCTGGGTGTATTGGGAACTAGCAGTATATGTATGACATTTAGAACCACCCATCCGGTTTTACTTTAGGCTGACAGCTGACGTGAGGGCTATCCCTCCCAGGAAAACCTTCCCAAACAGCCTCTGATACAAAGGCATCTCCCGCCTCCACAGCCCCCGCCCCAGGCAAACGAAACGTGTATCACAAGTGGACCTGCATTCTGCTTTTGCTTCCAGACTGACCGGGAGGCACGTACCACTGCTGCTGGAAGCGTGGGCTGAATCCCAATCTTGAACACACCACCTGCTGGTGCAAACGCCTCAGGGAAGTGACTTGAGTCTCTACACGGACTTAAAATGAGACTCATCCTAAGTGACTGTTCTGAGAATTTAATGAAGAAAACGTATAAGGTACTTTGTATGGTGTTGGCAAACCACAAACAGGAGGCCGTAAGTAAGCCTTAATTACTACCATTGAGGCGATGCTTCCTGAGCACCCACCGAATGAATGAACGAATGCTCCGGAAAATGATCTCCCGCCCGTCCGCTTTCAGCCCCAGCAACCGAGGCCCCTTCCCAGACAGCGTTCACAACTCCATCCTTTCCCCTCCTCTGCGCCCGCTGCGTGCAGGGCACTTCTCTCTTTCTGAGGAAAGCACGATCTGATTCATCCCCTGACCAAGCCCCAACGTCGCCCCCTCGCTGAGGCCTTCCCCATCCGCGCGGCCGCCCCGCCTCGGCGGCCTGCGGAGCCGGGACCCCCACCCCGCAACCTTCGCGCGGGGGGCCTCCGCCGGTCCCCCGCCCGCCTCTCACCCCACGCGCCGGCGCTCCCCACTCCACGCCGCCTCCGCGCGCGCTCGGAGCCCCCGGCCGCGCTCCCCGGGGCCGTTCCGACGCCTCCGCGCCCACCGCGCTACTGCCGACTCACTCGCCGCGGGCTCGGGCGGAGGTGCGGCTCGCAGACGCCAGACCGCCGGGCCCGAGCGGCCTGACAGGAAGTGCCCGCCCTGAACTTCCGCCGCGCCCTCCAGCTCGCCACCAATCGGATGCCCGTTTCCGGCGGCCGCTCTAGCGGTCAGAAGATTCTGCGCTACTGGCAAGTTCCTGGGTCCTGGTCCCGACTTTGGTGCTCCAAGTAGACCGGCCTGGTGAGAAATGTTAGAAGTTCTCGAGAGAGTGGGAACTATTATCAGTCGGAAACTCATAAAGGAAAAGGGGCAGAGAAGGAATAAATGAAGGTGAAACAAAATATTTTATTTTTCTTACTCCTAATTAAAAGATTATTGTTTTACAAAGTAATAATAGCAATAGTGTATTGGATAATTATAGCACATGGATGAGTAAAATGAATGACAGCAGTGTCATAAGGGATGGGAGGGAGGAACTGGGAATACTTGGTTATAAGTACTTACGCTACCTACGAAGCACTATAGTGTTACTTGAAAGCGGACTCAGATTAATTGTAAATATATATTGCAACCATGAAAATATTTTTCAAAGAAGTATAAATAATATGCTAAATACGAGAAAAATTGGAATTAAATAAAATGCTCAGTTAAACCAGAGAAGGCAGAAACAGAGGGAAAGATTTTATTTATTTATTATTATTTTTTTTAAGTAGGCTTCACGCCCAATGTGGGCTTGAACTCACCATCCTGAGATCAAGAGTCAACATGCTCTCCCGACTGAACCAGCCAGGCACCCTGGGAAATATATATTTTTTAAAAGAAACAAATGCAATGAATAAAAAAACAGTTACAAACATGGTACATATTAATCCACACTCTTCTCAAGGTCACATGGAACAGTCACCTTCAACAGTAAGAAATCTGGCTCTTATCTTCTGTCACCCATTTATTTAATTGTTCAGTTCCAGTATATATGTACAGTGGACTCTCACTTTTTATGTATCTCATCTGTTTTTCTGGATTTCTATCTTTTCTTACTATAGTGCTTCCTTCTACAAAATCATAAGTGATTTCAGAAAAGGCTCACTGTGCCTGAGAATTTGTTTATTGCACCATCACTTTATTTTTTTTTTAAATACGGGCTTGAACTCACGACCCTGAGATCAAGACCTGAGCTGAGATCAAGAGTCAGATGCTTAACCAACTGAACCATCCAGGGGTCCCCCCATCACTTTTTTTTAAGTAGATTTTTTAGGAGCACCTGGGTGGCTCAGTTGGTTAAGTGACTGCCTTCGGCTCAGGTCATGATCCCAGGGTCCTGAGATTGAGCCCAGAATAGGGCTCTCTGCTCAGCGGGGAGTCTGCTTCTCCCTCTCCCTCTGTTCCTCTCCCCTGCTCGTTCTCTCACTCTCTCTCTCCCGTCCTGTCTCCCAAATAAATAAATAAAACAAACAACCCCCCCCTGCTGTTTAGTTTTAAGTTTACAGCAAAATTAAGCAAAAGGTAGGGAGATTTCCCATGCACCCCCTGCTCCCACAGCCTTCCCTACTATCAAATTCCCAAACTAGAGTCGAACATTTGCATTTATTTATTATTATTATTATTATTATTATTTTTAAAGATTTTATTTATTTTATTTTATTTATTTATTTGACAGAGACAGACAGCAAGAGCAGGAACACAAGCAGGGGGAGTGGGAGAGGGAGAAGCAGGCCTCCCGCTGAGCAGGGGGCCCGATGCGGGGCTCGATCCCAGGACCCCGGGACCACGACCTGAGCTGAAGGCAGACGCCCAACGACTAATCCACCCAGGCACCCCTATTTTTATTATTTCTTAAAGATTTTATTTATTTATTTGAGAGAGCGCGAGTGAGAGATCACAAACATGGGGAGCAGCAGAGAGAGAAGGAGAAGCGGACTCCCCGCTGATCAGGGAGCCAGATGCGGGTCTTGATCCCAGGACCCTGGGGTCATGACCTGAGCCAAAGGCAGCTGCTTAACTGACTGAGTCACCCAGGTGCCCCTATTTATTTATTTTTAAGTTAAGTAGGCTCCATGCCCAACATGGGGCTTGAACTCAACCGCAAGATCGAGTCACATGCTCCACCAACAGAGCCAGCCAGGCACCCCTAGAGTCAAACATTTGTACAATCTATGAACATACATTGACACATCATTCTCACCCAAAAGTCCATAGTTTACATTAGGGTTCACTCGTGCTGTTGTACATGCTATGGGTTTTGAAAACTGTATAATGATACGTATCTACCGTTAGAATGTTGTACAGAATAGTTTCACCGCCCTAAAAGATCCTCTGTGCTTCAACTATTCATCTTGTACTATCACTTTATTTGTTAATTTTTACATTTATTTATTTTCTATTTTTTAGAGAGAGGGGGAAGAGAGAGCATGTGAACGGGGTGGAGGGAGAGGCAGAGAGAGAGAGGGAGAAAGGTGATCTTAACCAGGCTCCACACTCAGCACGAGCCCAATGTAGGGCTGGATCTCACCACCTGAGATCATGACCTGAGCCAAAGTCAAGTACACTCAACTATCTGAGCCACCCAGACATCCCTGTACCATCACTTAAAATGATAGCCCAAGTTTACCCCAAGTATAAAAATCTAGGTGCAAAATTATTTTCTTTCAACGTTATGATTATATTATTTTATTGTTTTCTTGTTTCCAGTATCATTATTGACAAGTCTGATGTTAATTAAAATATTTTTCTTTTGTAAGTAATAATCTCCGCCTAAAAGCTTTTGAGATATCATTTTTTTCTTTTTATATTCTTAAATTTCACTACAGTGTGTCTAGTGCATGTGTTTTTTCTTTCTTTCATGTTTAACACTCAAGGAGCCATTTTAGTCTGAGGTTGCTGATCCTTTATTCCAAGTCACTTTAAAAATATTTGTCTTCCATTTATTTTTTCCTTTAAATGTCATTTTGATACTTCTGTTTTCATCTTTTATATCACCCAATTTTTTTTTCTTTTTTAAGTAGGCTCCGCACCCAGCATGGAGCCCAACACAGGGCTTGAACTCAGATCAAGACCTGAGCTGAGATCAAAAGTTGTACACTTAACTGGCTGAGCCACCCAGGTGCCCCGGCACTAGTCTTTTGAAAGAACTTATTTCCTATAGCTGGAATCACCTGATGTTAGGGCTGTGGCCATCAAGAAGGTGGTATAGAATACTCAGGGTTAACTAGGTTCTGGTGACTCCTAACATAACTCCACTGGACTGCGTGCTGCTAGGATTGTGTTTGCATGTATCATCCTGCTATGGGCTGAATTGTATCTCTCCCCCAACCCCAGAAGTCCTAGTCCCAGTACATCAGAATATGACCTAATTTGGAAATAAGATCATCGCAGATATAATTAGTTAAGATGAGGTCATACTGAAGTAGGGTGGACTCCAATTTGATGTCCTTGTAAGAAGATAGCCATCTGAAGACAGACACAGGGAGAAGATCATGGGAAGACCAGGGCTGATACTGGAGTTATACAAGCCAAGGAATGCCAAAGACTGCCAGAAAACCACCAGAAATTAGGAAGAGGCAAGAAAGGATTTTCTTACAGGTTTGAGAGAGAGCATGGCCCTGTTAACAGCTTGGATCTGTACTTTTACCCTCCAGAGTTATGAAAAATATATTCCTATTGCTTTAAGCCACATGGTTTGTGGCACTCTGCTATGGCAGCCCCAGCTGGCCAATATATATTTTCACAGTGGTGAGGGCACAGGTAGCGATCTTCCCAAAGGCAGTGAGATGGGGGAGTTTCTCGCCATCCCCCTTCCACCAGGGCTCACTACCCCAGGGTTTCAGTTCTCTCCAAACCTTTCCTCTTCCAAGATAGTTCTCACAGCACTTACTTTTGCCCTCTAGTGCCATATACTTTTTGTTTACTTCTGTGGTATGAAAGTAAGATCTTGGACTCAGAATTTAGAATTAGACTGTGCTTCTAACCAAAAAGGAAATGGGCTCCCAGTCAGACATTGGGAGGTCGTCACACCTCAGTTTCTTAGTTCATCAAAATGATGTTCCTTTTACACACAGCTACAATCTAAGACAAACCCCCTTCCCCAAGAATGCCTTATGGTCAGTAGAGGTAGTGTCTTGTGACATTTGTATGGAGAAAGGAATCACTCAAGTAACAGGGGAGTGGGCTTCCTGACAGTAAGATCACGAACAGGAGACCTTACGTGACTTGCAGGGCTGGGGTGGGGTTGGGGGGAAGCCGTCTTGGTAGACATAAATTAACACACTTCAAAAAGACTGTTTGAAAGGGGACCTGATATTATATCTTTAAAAGGGGAAAGTATATTTTTTAAGATTGTATTTATTTATTTGAGGTGGGGAGGGGCAGAGGAAGAGGGAGAGTCTTTTTTTTTTTTTTTTTAATTTTGTGTACTTCAATAGGTAGTAATGGTCTCAAAAATCTTTCTCTTCATCAGATGTTTGATCCCCTTGCAAAACTTTTGGCCTTTGAGCTTGAACGTGGAGCTTTACTCCATCAAGAATATGATTTTCTTGTAGTGCATTCTGAAGTTCTTCTGAAGAAAACTGAATCCAACCCATACCTCTGTGAAATCCAGTCTCTTTGTCAAAAGGTACAGTGCACTTTCGTGCATGGCCAAACTGCAAAGTGTAGGAGAGAGAGTCTTTTTTTTTTTTTTTAAAGATTTTATTTATTTATTTGACAGAGAGAGACACAGCGAGAGAGGGAACACAAGCAGGGGGAGTGGGAGAGGGAGAAGC